ATGAAGACTTCAACTAAATAACTATTGCTGAGTCCAGGTGTCACAAGCGGTCAACGTGCGACTTCTTCTTCACCTACAACCCGCGACCACCACCAGGGTACTGGAAAATTATAATGTCTGGTAGTAGCTATCATAGGTTCGTTGAACTTCTGAAACTCTGGCCTGTCGATAAAACCAAAATTGGAGGCAGGTAAGCCAATAATTGAATAAAGCCATTAACTTAATCATGATTAACTGATTCATCACTGGATAATTATATATAATTTATCTATGTGTAGTACAGTAGACTCAGTAGTACTATAATACTATTGAGATAATTAGGAAAAGTGAATGACAACTTTCGAGCAACATTGAATTAGTAGCTTTTCATTTATTAGTACGTATATAGGCCTATGTGATAATTGAACCATAGACCAGGATGGAATTCTAATATTGACGGTTCATATATTATTCCCAATACACCTACACCCATGGTGCCAATCCATAGGTTATTCAAAAGAACCTGTTCCTATGTCATTTTGAACCAATCAACGCTTCTTTACGGACCGATCGTAAAACACACCTTCACCGGCAAAAGCTTTCACACTTCTGAAGAAGGTGAGCTAGTATCAGTTAAATTTGAAGCGCTGACGCAATACGACTCACCACATGTCGGATGTTGCCACACAAAGTGACTGAATATAGGGATTTGGTAGGTTTCCATTCTAAAGGCTTTTTAATAAATATGGCAACATTTTGTGACGTTTCATCGTTGCTGACGCGTAGTGAAGTGTTTTGAGAGTCATGTGAAGGCAACAGAACTTACGTAACGCATACGGTTTTTTTTATAGTTTTTCATTTCTCGATGCGTCCTTAATGTGTCAGAATATACCGCGTTTACCCTAGAACCTAAATAAACTCTGTTCATCAAAAGGACAAAAAGCTTATGTATCAAACGTATGTGGTAGTACAATAAATTTTGAGATCTCCAGTCATGAGACTAAAATTCATAGGCCTACTCATAGGTGATCTTGAATTTCTGCACTGCGTTCAATTAAGCAATATGTAAAATCATAAATTTCAAATAGGTACCAACTTTTTCAATTTAATTCTGAATGAGTCGCGCCTGTTGAATTCTAATAGGGATCATTAATTTTTGCATCGTATTCCTGAAAATCAAGTATTGCATTTCTTTTCAATTAAAAACATTCTTTTACATCAAAAACAACGATTTTTTTCTTACGGCTTCTTTGATAATTGATGATCTCACTCGTATAACTTAATACCGTAAAATGGGGTAACTTAGACCACTTTTATTTTTATAAATGATGCCATTTTTTTACTAGCTAAATTAAACTTGAATTGAAACATGCAAAATACAGGTCTATACTCTAGCTTCAATCACCATAAATTGCTGGCTCCTGCCTCTCATAGTCTTTATGTAATTTCAAAAAAAATGTTGGTCGTTGTTACCCCAGCTCTTGGGGTAACTTAGACCGGGTGGTAAAATCAATTATATTTTTTAGTAAAATAACTCCAAATAACTCCAGGTTTTGGTGCATTGTAGTAGAACTCTTCTAGTTACATATGCAAATGACAAACTTGAGGAAAGTGTCATAGTTTGCAAATGGGGGGTGCTGCCCCATAATGAGGGAAATGTGACTACCTAATGGCAGCCCTGATGGGGTAATATTGACTGGCTTGGAAATTAAGTTAAAATTACCATCTATAAGACTCTGTTGAGTCTGAAACATAAAGAAAAAACATAAATAGGCTGTCAAACATAAAATATGTTATATATGGTAATTTTATATTAACTTCCAAGCCGGTCTATGTAAATGATTTTGTCATTTCGATGACTAAACTTTCTTTGGTTCATTAAAATAAAATAATTACTGCTTATAAACAACCAACGTTTTCTAAAAGACACAAGACGTTCAAAAACTCACCATGGGAGACAAAATCATTCAGGATTTGAAGTGAAGTTAGTAAGACAAATTCGACATTATAGGGCAAAAACATGAATAACTTCATATTTAGAAGTGTATCAATTGGTGTTTAAATTTTGAAACAATTTTCCATCATTTAAATGTCACTGTGAAATGTGGATCACATCTAGTTATTATGAAATTGAACTTTACAAGACCAAAACAAGGTGTCTGACACTGTCTTGTCTAATGTCAACATTCAACACAATGTTGCCATACGCCGTGAAAGATAAGCAGTTTATCCCATCATTCCGTGTGGATTCGAGAACTTTGTTGGTATTGGTGAAATCGTGAGAATTTTCTGCGAAAGTTTGCATAATTTTTATTTTGAAACATTTTCATTACAAAATTTGTCGATACGGATACACGACTAGTGTATGTATTAGAGGGAAGAGTCGCCGACTTTTTATCGGTTTTCGAACCACACTCAAGCGAGTTAAAGGAAGTGCAGCTGTCCGGGTGTCCGCAGTTTCTGACGAGCTCAGTGTAAGAGTATCAATTGTCACTTTGGTGGAAGGTGTAAGGTGGTAAATTTTTTGATACATTTTGTTTTGTAAACGTGATAATATATTACCTATACAGAATTCCATACTGCCATAGACAGTGAAATCTTGAGTTATGTTGTCTCTATTACCATTGAGAAATGACAATTGCTGAATTGGCACTTGACTTAGCATAGCAGTCCCTGCTAAATGTGAGTAACTGTAATCTGTAAAGTGACAATTTAATTATTGACATTTCATTGATGATGATTTGCTAAAACTTACAAGCCACTGAAGCCAGAAGATTTCTGCTGGATGAACTATTGTGTATCTGATTGTAAGAAAAAAATCATGATTGAGCCTCAAGGTTTCAATGTTATTATTTTTTGTATTAACTGGAACTTTTTCCAATTTTGAGTGAAATTGAAAATTGACAACAGCATAACAAAAATTGAATAAGCGAGTCAATTTGTCAAAGCCACCAATTGATAATGTATAATGACTTGATAGTGAGTTGATACTTATATCTACCAATTATCAAAACTGTCATTTTATTTAAATTTAAAAGCTTTTTGAGCTTTAAGTTAGCTAATGAGGAAATATTCAACACACAAATGCCATGATACAGTTTGAGTTTGATTGTCAGTTGTCAGTTTGTCACTTGTCATGCATATTATAAATATATAAATAGGAACACAATATATTATTGTGTTCCTGAATTAGGGTATAATTCCTGATAAATGTGATGAACACCAATATACCTAGACTTGTAGAGTCTAACCTACCAGGCTGCTAATATTCTAGAATAATCTAGATGAATTATTGATTTAATGTGCACACTTATCTACATTGGTTTACCCAATATGGCATTATCCTCTAATTAGATCATATATCAGCTTTCAAGACTTTTAATTAATTGATTGGTTTTATTTTTACAGAGACCTAGGGGAGTACATCCAGCATCGCATTTCTAAAACATTTGTTCAAGGTGTGGCAACATCAGTGGATGAAGAAAAGTGTAGTGCTATTGTGTCAAGCCTCACAAGACTTGCCAAAGACACTCACAAGAACAAGTAAGTGAATTATTTTCTTAGTTATTGAGCTTAACATCAACACCAGAATTTGAGTGAAAAATATCTACCTTAGTGTGCAAGTTCATAAATTTCTTATTAATTAGAAGAATAAATTAACCTTTCTAATGATGTATGTAAATAAATATTTTTCTAACTTGGTTAAAGAATATGGTAATACACTAACTTGGTTAAAGAATATGGTAATACAGTAGGTACTAATTTCATAAGAGTAGTAAGATTTTATCATTCAATGCTTAAAACTTTAAAATTAATGCTGAAACTGTAATAAAATTATTATCTTCATTGAATTGCTATGGAATTGCAATGTTCTCAAACTAATGATAGGAGTTACAACATTGTATTTTTCTTTATTAAAGCTTGTTTATTTCAGGTTCCCTCGTACTCGGGAGAGTTCTGCGCTTGGTTTGACAAAAGAAGAATGTTCTGGGCTTCTGTCAAATGAGTTCCTAGCTCTTTTACATGATAGAGAGAAACCTTTCTTTAATAGGTTTTCTAACTTTCCAAATAAGAAAACCTGAGTATCTTTAGATTTTTTTTTTCAATAATCATCTTTCACTCTACCCAGACACTGCACTTCATAGACATAATTTAACAAACATTTCCTTTGCATTCCTATAATTTGGTTTTAAATCTGCACAAACAGAATTATAAAATTTACTTTCAAATGAGGTAATTGTTAAATTTTTGATACCCATTGTAACTGCTAACAGAAATGGCCAGATTGACCTCAACTTTCACTCTGTGGCCTCATAGAAATTTACTGCAATTTCAGCAGCAGCTCTCAGTTTTTGCTCATCAGCAAACCTTATTGAGGAATAGAAACTTTCACAACTGCCTTAGGAGTGCCTCATTTCCCTGTAAACCCAACTCTTTCAACAGCCATAATATTTTAAATGATGGTAGTTCTTTTTCTAGTCCCTTCAATCAAGTGCGCAAGTTGAAAGTAGATCGTTATGACCATGTACCAGAGGATGAAGAAAAGCATTGCTGGGATGGTATCTATGCTGAACAAATATCAGATTTTGTTATACCAAAGCAAGGGGGTGGAATTATCCTTGATCTCACTTTCGGATCTGGCAAACACACCGAGAAAATTCTAAGTGCTGATCCTAATGTTCGGGTAATTGCCATAGACCGGGATCCTCAATGTGAGGAAGATGCAGCAAGACTCAAAACTAAGTTTCCTAGAAGGCTCTGTTTCCTCAACATCAAGTTCAGGTAAAGAGAAGTTGCATTACAAGCTTGATAGTTCTCTAAATGCATACCATAGCATTATTCAACCATTTGTCATATATGCCTACAATTCTGAAATAGATTCTTGAGCTCAACTGGAATTTAAGTAGCAGCACTTGTTAATATTTTTCCACTGTGTATCTCATCTACGATATTCCAGTTACTTGACTAGTTGCAACAATTGTGCAGATTGCAGCATGTGCATATAAATGAACTTTTTTCAATAATTTGTGGGAGATTTTGTCAAGAAGTTTACACTTCATCATTGAGAAATATTCATTTTAAATGTATTTTTCTCTGGCTACATTTTAATAGGTATGTTTTGAATAAGTATTAATGTTATAATCGATGGAACTATGTTCCCATGCAATATGTCCTAATTTTCTTAAATAATTTTGCAGTGACACAGTGGAGGCACTATACAACATTGGTGTCAACGCAGGAACATTATCAGGTGCGGTGCTGGATGCTGGCTTATCACACGCACAGCTCACGGTGCCTGGAAGAGGTGGCTTCTTCAACAGCACTACTGAACCTCTTGACTTCAGAATGTCTGGTCGTCACAGGTTAGTGCCACCTATACATTGGTCTCTCCACTGTTACATCCAAACAAGATCTAAGTATATGCAAGAGTGTATGAATACATAGAATGTTTTCATTTTTAAAATCTTGAATGCCATGGTTGTGTACACTGTCACAAAAATTTTAATTTTTTCTTGTTACCATTTAATTAAACATTGAATTTGCTAAATTCAAAATCAGTTATATTCTTTAATCAGATATTAACATTGACTAATGGAAACAGACAAATTCATGGATAATCAAGTAAACAAACTTAACAAATATTTTTACATCCTCATGTTGCTTTATGCGCGATCTCAAAAATGGTGTTGAAAATCAAATAAATATTAGGCTCACATAACTGAGAATTGTTTCAACTTTCAGCGTGAGTATGATGTAGTTCTAACCCATACACTGCTTTCAGTATGAATTTGGTCAAGACTCAATACTACGCAGCTGGTTTTTCTACATTTAATTAGTAGACAAGTGGCTTCTTTAATTCAGATTATTATCTATGTGTTACTGAAGGATTTTTAAATGTGTTGACGCAACTGATTCGTATGTAACAATTGTGAATATTATGAGATCAGGGATATGGTATCATAAATACTACATTTTGGCTTAGTTATTACTAATTTTGAGAAATGCTTCTCATAGCAAAAACTTCTATCACACAGAACAAACATGACTGAAGAATCGTTTAAACTTGCTTATTCTTATGAGATGTGAATGATGGATGGTTTTGTTCAGCCAGGAGCCATCTGCCAAGGACATTCTCAATCACATAGACGAAGACTCCTTGTACCAGGTCATTAAAATCTATGGGCAAAACAAGAAGGCAAGAAAAATCTCACAGGCCATCATCCAAGCAAGGTCAGTTATCATAAGCTCAACATCATTGAATATTCCATAGGTATATTTATGTGTCAATTAATTATGGATGATCGTTCTAAATCGTCATGTGCGCAGATCTTGACGAATTTCAGGCTGTTTTACTTTGCTTCGATTTTTCACAATTAAGAATAATCTGATGTCGCGTGGTTGTTGTAAAGCTTTTATATTGAAAGTAAAGTTAAGTATAGCTCATTCAATTTCGAATAACCGATGAAATAACACCATTGTGTCCGAACTTTGTTGCAGGTATGACCTGCAGGACATAAAAACTCCCGGGGACCTCAACTTGTTGATCAAAATACTCGAGGGTTTTGACGACGAGACTCCGACCCCTGTGGAAGACCAACAGCAACAGGAGGTCTTGGAGGAGAGTTTACACGACGGCACCACGTCTGTAGCAGGATTCCACTCCTCTGCTGCCAGCACCATCAGGGTCAGCTTATTTAAATTTATTGTATAAACGATAGGTACGTATAATTGCTGCGCACACTTTAGTAGTGTTACACAAGTGACTTGTCGGTTGTGTGAACCGAGTTATTTTAAGTGACTTCAATCCAAAAAGGATTATTTTTGGAAGATGGTAATCTTCGATTCCATATTCGTTCATCATCCTATAGCCTATTCTGTTAATAATTTTTATTTCTTATATTTTATTAAAAGCATCGATTGTATCAACTAGAATTATGCATACAGCCTCAGTTGTCTTCTTCCCCCCTTTTCCAATCTTGAGCTTCTATTTATGACCAGCCTCACATATAGTCACATTAACTGAATTTAACATATATATACTCGTGATTTATTACAGGCTCTAAGAATATTAGTAAACAACGAAGTGAATGAGTTGGACTGCGCCATAAAATGCGTGCATCGTTTGCTGCTGCCAGACGCACCTTTTGCTGTCGTCACTTACAACGTCTTAGAAGACACTATCGTCAAGAGGCATTTTGCAGGTTAGTTGATCTTTGATTTTATTCTATTGCTTATGGAGAATATTCCTCATGATCCAGAATGCGCCGATATGCAAAAAAAATCCACATCCCGGTGAGTAAGACGTATAGAGATGACTCCGTAGTAAGGATGCTGCAAGTATTTTTGAAATTAAATAACTTGGAAAAAAAATCCTCGACTTATTACATGTTAAGAAATTGAGGCATAGGAAACTCAAAGTAATTGCAAGATTTCCTCAGTGCATCCTTTTTAGCGCATTTGCTCATTTTTGGAAAAAATGTCCTATTGCTCGAATGTCCGTCTGTCTGTCCGTGACTTCGTTTTCGTCGACGAAAAAATGCGCGCTGTCACTCGGTGCTGGGAGTACTGAGTTTCATTTGTTCTCGCTAAAACTTGGATCCTCTTCTTTATCTTTGTATGTATAATTATTGTACGTCATTTTTCGATTTGATCATTGAATGATGAAATAAATGGTTATGACCAGCTTCATGCTGTCCTCTATGATGAATCGCCATTAGATTTTAGCTGAATATTTCCGGGCTTGAACCAATCAGTGTCATCTGATAGAAGCCAGTTTGCTCTTACATAATCGGCAAAAAATAATTAAATTTGAAATTATTATTAAATTACCTCGTGATTTGGTGTAATATGAATTCGAACCTTGCTTATAATCGGTACCCAAGAACGTTAACATTCATAAAAATCACGGAATTTTAATAGTCTAAATTCACTTCGATTCATCAGATCGAGAATCACGTATAATTAAGGTACTTACGACTAACCGAAATTAGCAGAAAACGTGTGCTTACAATTAATTATTTGCAGTTAACAATCTCGACTAATTTCGTAAAACATTTCCAGGAGTGGACGTGGACGCAAGTGTGAGCACGATAGGCTGTCCTCAGCATCGCTACGCAAAGACTCTCGGTTTCGCTGATCCAAGAGAATGCAAACCATGGACGCCGCAGTTCAAACTCGTGCCGTCCTACCAGATGACGCAGAACTTCTCCCACTGGAAACATGCCAAGCTCAGGACTGCCACCAAGAATGGAGGTGTAGCGTACGAGCAAGTCCTAGAGGGTGTATGAGCTTCAGGTTGTTAAATATTAATTTCAAGTTCATGACGTACATATAAACGGGAAATTTCTACTAAACAGGATTTGTTTATAAACATGAGTTGTAACTCACTTCATTATTTCAGAGCGTTATCAATTGATGAAGTGCGAGACTAATGCGTGGTGCTTCTTCACAAATATTCGGGCCTAAGCCTTATGGTTGGGCATGGTTAGGGGGTTGCGACCAGTTGAATTGACATTGATTACTGAAGTCGAGTAGTGAAAAATTCAACATAAAATAAAGAACGGCACAATACACGTTTCCGAATCGATCTTATAATATGGCTGCTTGCTTCAGTTCGAAGATCTTTGTTTGCACGTTGAAGACTCCGTAATTAGAAAAACTATTGCATTTATTGCCGTAAAATCTATCCGCACTGCATATTGTAAATATCTACATCAATGAATAAAATTGAGATTTACTACCACTGATTTGTCACTTACACCATCACCTCGTTACCGTATATCATAACATTCTTTGGCACGCAAAGAGACGAACTGAGGATAAAACAAAGTTGAGGACAAAGATATCAGAGTCAGAGTGTAATAGCAGCAGCTTTGGATTTAACCTCGATGAACATACTAGTTTTCCTCTTCTTTCTCTTAGGCTCATCTGTACTCATGTTACGTTTAATTTCCTCCATTTTCTCTTCATCTTGTTCTGCAATATAGCCTTGATCTCTAACTTGGTCGCCAATTTGAAGGTCTCTTACTATCCGCTCCTCAGGCATGAGGAAATTACCCATCCCGGCTGCCCTGTCAGCCTCGTCCTGCGTGTGAGGCTCCAGTTGTAGCTCACGTACACGCTTCTTGTGCTTCCTTGTGCGTAGGTGTAGCTCGAGCGTTTCTATGTTGATGAAGTAGATCCTGCCAGACGGGGATATCATTCAAATTTTATGTCCTCAAAATGAGAATTACCTATCTGATGTTTCTGATGTGCATTTATTAACAAGTCATTTTAGCAATAAAATATAAGCTTTCCTGAAAACTGATTCAAATGTGAATGCAAGGTAATGATGAAAACACAACCGTATTGTAACTATAAGCGATATTAGTAAAATACCAAAAATATTGAACGAGTCTCATTGTGGAACTGAAGTAATATGCAATTATTACTGTCAAGTTGAGGAATGCTTGGAAAATCAAAGCACATTAGTTGCTCACAATACAAAAAAACTCACCCACAATGTATGCAGTAATTTTGACCAGCTCCTGGCTTCTCAGCATCAGCCTTCTGGTTGAGGAAGTCATAAGCCTTGTGCGGGGCAAGGTCGTCATCTATCTGTTAATTGAATTTTGGTTATAACATTTTTCTTTGGCTGGGAAATGACAGGTATGAAAAGGCTGGTTAAAATAACTGTACTACCTACCTAGTAATCAATAATATCTTGTATCAGTGTAATGCTCTAACTGGTTATCACAACTAGGTTAAGTTTTACCTACATTACTAAAGGAGAAAAATATGCTCATAGCATAAAAATTTAATTCACATTCTCAAAACAACAAAATTTGAAGAAAAAACATTCAACAAAATTAGTTATTTTTTTGCTGTCTTCTTATTTAATGGCAAAGGTTGAAAAATAATGAAAAAATATGTGGGAATGGATGAATTATCAGCAGTTATTGGAACAAACAACACATTTTAACTATGATTTATCTCATTGCCACAATGCAAGGCTAGCTTTGTGATACATCAATACTACTATAAATATATATACACGAGGTCTAAAGGTCATTAAAAGATCAGGTCTTCATTGTAATACACATTTTACATCTGAATTATTGCAATTTCTTGTAGTTAACCTCATGATCACTGTTAAAATCTCTGTCATAACCATAATTCATAATCACTTCACTCAAAATATTGGGTGATAGAATGTTTTATTATTAATCCCACCATGCAATATTCAAATTAATTCAAAACCTCAGGATAGGAAAACAAAAATAAAAAATAAAGTATTCACACTGTTATGTACTTATTTATGTTGTAAGCATTGGTATGGAATCTGAAAAAAGATAGAGCTGATGAGAGAAATTTGATTGATTGTCATCAGTGGGTGCCAAATTTTTCACTGAAGTTTATAGTGCAATTTATTTTGAAGTAGGTTCTAATTGGCTTTCTCTTCTGCACAACAGAAGAGAAAGCCAATTAGACAATTTGGGTCCCAAATATATACTGTCAAACGGGGTTATAAGGGACGGGTGGGGTAAGTCGGGACGTGCATCCCGTATTTCGTAGAAATGTTGTAGCAGCTAAACTGATCACAATATTGCAAAACTAAAAATACTGGTGTAAACTTCAATTTTTTTACTATCTACTGTGTATAAAGCTACTTAAGAAATCATACACTTACCATCTCTAAAATAAAATGCATAAAACCACGTTTTTCTTGTGGACTAAAAAGTAGAAGATAAATTATGGCTCGCCACAAAAAACGTGTGTCGGGCAGATTTATGATTAAAGCGAAAAGCACACAACACACGAATTTTGGAAATTTGATGGTGAATGTACAGCCCGACCCACGTTTTTTGGGGCGAGCCATAATTTATTTTCTACTAAGTCCACAAGAAAAACGTGGTTTTCTTTAAAAAGTTTTTTTCAAGTATTTTATTTTCTCCTTTTAAGTCCGTTGCTACACATGAAAAATGTTGTTGCGAGCCAATTTACTTGACTTGACGTACGTATCGATGATACGCAGCGTAAGCGCCTGCTCGTCTATAACGTCAGCGCCCGCACGTCATACTATATATATACTATTTATATATAATTTACTCAATTAAGCTAATTTAGGTCTCTAATTGCTAGTTTTTATGATTGTATCTGAAATTGTTAGGCGAAAATAGCCTGCATGCCGAATTTCAGATCTCTAGAGCAATCAGAAGTGGGCTAATTTTTGTTGTCAATGTTAACAACAAACAAACAAACAAACGCGAAGCTAAGCTAAGAAAAACGTGTTAAAAATTGCTGAAAAAAGTGTGAAAAGTGAGATTTCAGAAAAGTACCTCTACTAAGGTCTGGAGCAAAAAAATATTCGCCATATTAAAAAATTTTACTTGCATAAAAGTTGCACACAGGTGTCGGCATGAAAACGCGCGATTGCCGGAATATGCCTCTATCTCATTCCAAAAAAACAATGGCAGCCATTTTCGCGCGATGAGGTAATAAGGGACACCCCCCCAGGGTAATAAGGGACACCCCTAAAAAAAGCATTTACAGTTTAACCTCAGTTAGCAAAGGCTCCAGTTAACAAAAAAAAATGGATCAACAACAAAGAATTTTGATTACATTTACCACGCTCAGCGAAAAAAATTTCACTTATCAAAAAATTAATGCATCATTGGTCATCTCAAAATTGTGCACAGGATGTCATATATAGAATTGTGCACCAGGCATCATAGAATGAAAAGCAATTAATCTAAACTATGATTTATTTCTCCAAAACATATGATGGTTGTCACTAAAACATTCCTTTCTTTTTCAGGTATGTTTTAACAATTTTTTTTATAATGAATTCACTTGACCCAATTAAAATGGTGTGAAATTACAAGCCATCCTGTAAGCTTACAGATACAGAAGAAATGCTATACAGCTGCTGATATGGAGCTTGCAGTGGATTAGGTCATTGTAAATGCTCAATAGCATGTTTATAGATATGGCCATGGGCCTATTTCTTCAGCGCCGACACTTCTAATATCACATCAATAATGCGGTAATGAATGAATGTGGTGATATCATATCAATAAAGGATAAACAAGTAAAAACACAGAAAATGTCATTTATTCTACATCTACATCATCTACAATGAAAGAGGAGGACTTCAGAGTATTGTTAGTAATGGATGAGTACACTCAGCATGCTTCAAACATTTTAAAATTTAGTTTTATTTCAAATGTCCTGGATTACTCCGTTCCCAGGGGTAATTCGGGACGGTTTTATTTAACGTCTGGCACCTTACGAATAGCCTAAGGAATTTTTTAAAGCTGCCATTCGATAGTCGTCGCCAGGGTTGGCAATGATTAAATCAAAATGATTAAATCACTTGATTTTTTTATAAAAAATCATGATTTTTTTATTTTTTAGATTTTTTTATTTATTTGATTTTTTCATATATTTAAAAATATTGAGTGGCAGTCTTTAATTTATATTAAGGTATTGTTATTCATGGATTAGTATAAATGTACTATGAATGACAAATTGGTATATAAACTTGTTGCCTTTAGTGTGTATTAGGTTCCAATAAATTGAATGTTTTTGGTACAGAGGCATCAAGTGTGCAATACATTGTACGTATCTAGCAGCTTAGC